GACCTGCTGCTGCTTTTCACTGCTCATGAAATTTATTCACCTTAAAGGTGCTGTCACATGGCAGTCAGAAATTCGGAAAACGGAATCTCGGAAAAGTAACGGAAAGGGGGTCAGAAGTTATTAAATGCATTTAATAACTTCTTAAAAGTATTTTAATTTTTTTCCATTTCATGATCTCTATCTCTACAAAATAATATAAATACACAAATTTTTAATACATAAATAGTTAATGTACATACATACTGTCAGACATGCAAAAATTGCGGACTTGCCAGTCCGAAATTTTTGTGACTGGGCTCCCCATGGACTGATATTTCCGGAATAAGTAAAAATTGAAAAAATTATTTTTATTGTTTTAGAAGAAAAAAGATACTTACCGTAGTAGTAGAGTCTATTAAAAAATAAAGCTTCGACGTATTTTTTATTATACTCTAAAATTATATAGAAATTTCTTTAATTTAAAAATATGTTAAGGTTAGAATGCCATTTAGTTGTCCGTAAAAGTCGTTCCATGGGGAGCCCGGCCCTTGAAAAATCGCACCAATCGAGCTGACTCTGATTGGTTGACCCCCTCTCCGTTACTTTTCCGAGATTCCGTTTTCCGAATTTCTGACTGCCATGTGACAGCACCCTAAGGCATTTAACAGACGGAACGGATCGACGGAAATCTAGTAAACTTTGTCTTCCGCGTTTCCGCGTTTCCGCGTTTCCGCGCTCCATGTCCATGTAATGGCACCCTTAAAGAAGAAAGAATCAGAAAGATTCAAAGAAGTTCTCCGAAGAGGAAACAAGTATAAAGACGAAGAAAAGGAAGAAGAAATCCAAGAAGAGAGAAAGAAATATTTATAGTTTGGTGTGTGAAAGTGTAAACATTTCAGTATATATCAATATTATAATTTTATTATAATAATGAATTTTGTCTGAAATAAATTAATAATAATAAATAATTATTAATAATAATTAATAATTTAATTTTGAGAGATCATTAATTGAGGATGACTCTCGACTGTGTGATTAGCAACGAACAAGTGATTTTTGTTACGGGAGGTTATGACCATACTATTAAAATATGGCAACCGCATACGGGTGTCTGTCAACGTACGTGCCAACACACGGATTCTGTATCCTTCGAACCAAATTTTTGGTTAAAATGCGTCTTGACGATAATCGTACCAAATCATGGTCGTATTGTCTTGACAATTATAATTGGCCAGTAGAGTCGATTAATATTTCCATTGCTGTTTATTATTTGACTGGCGAAGTAAATGTGATTTATTCTGTTTAAAATTGTATATATGTTGCAATTATAAGTGAGAAACTTTTTGAGGTATTTTTTGAATTTTCTTAACGAGTTTTACAGCAAGTCAATGCATTAGATATTACACCAGACAAGTATGTTGTAGCTGCTGCTGGATATCAGCATATACGGATGTATGACCTAGCTTCAAATAATCCCAATCCAGTCATCAACTATGAAGGAGTGTCGAAAAATATTACCAGTTTAGGCTTTCAGGTTTTATGTCAATATTACATACTGTTATATGTAGGATATTCTTTTACAAACATATATGTATATATGTTTGTAAATAAAAGTTTACAATAATGTTTATATAATTATTTCTTGTAAATAGGAAGAAGGAAAGTGGATGTATACAGGAGGAGAAGATTGTTCTGCAAGAGTATGGGATTTGAGGTAAATTATTTACTGAAAGAAGAATTATTTATAATAAGAGAGAATAATAAGAATTATTTATATTTTTAACTTAATAATACTAATTTTTATTGATAGATCTAGCAGCTTTCAGTGCCAAAGAATATTTCAAGTGACTGCACCTGTAAATTGTGTATGTTTACATCCCAATCAAGCAGAACTAATTGTTGGTGATCAAAGTGGAGTCATACATTTATGGGACCTTCGTTCTGATCACAATGAGCAATTAGTATGTTATCTTTTTTATATTTGAAAATTTTACATTTGTTTTCAGGATCTAAAGTCATGAAGAACTTTCGAAGAGATAAAATTTTGACAATTCTCTTTATTTTATTATTTTATTTTCTATTACATATATGTATTAAAATATTTGTGTAATAATATATATGATTTATATAAATACAAAATTTATCAAGAGAGATGAAAATCATAGATGTAATATTAGAATAATCTTAATATAATTTTTTAATATTAATATAATTTTTTCTATTTAAATATCAGATTCCTGAAGCTGAATCTTCGATTCAGGATATTACAATAGATCAGGATGGCACTTACATGGCTGCAGTAAATAATAAAGGACACTGCTATATTTGGACGCTTTCAGGAGGCGTTGGAGAAGAACCTACAAAACTTAATCCTCGTCACAAACTTCTAGCTCATAAACGTTATGCCCTTCGTTGCAAATTCAGTCCTGATTCTACGTGAGTATTTTCTTATTTTTATAATAAGTATTTTTCCATCATTAAAAAAAAATAATATATACGTTATATAACATTATTATTATATACAATGTATATGTATTAGATGTCATATATTCTCGTGGACTATAAATATTAAAAACCAAACAGGAGAAAATGCCATATTCTTAAATATTAAACTCGTAACTATTTAGAACTACTACAGTAGTTCTAAATTTGTTGCTAAACTTTCTATATTATTCTATTAATTTATATTATTTGAGATGTGAAGGAACTAACTTATGTTGATAACACAAGAAAATAAACTTATATGATTTTTCACTTCCGTTATCATAATCTAAAATAGTTGTACCAAAAAATATCAGAAGTATCCTTTTAGATTTGATTAGATTTAAGTGAAAAATTGACGGAAGATACAAAAGATTCTGTATATCCACTTTAAAATGTTAACAAAAAAATAAGGATATGCTATTCCCAACAATTTTTTTATACCCTTTGCTAAATAAGTTTTATATCCAAATTAATTTATTAAGATTGTTGGTGACAACATCGGCTGATCAGACTGCACGAGTATGGAGAACAACAGATTTTTCCGAAGTACAAGTACTTCAGCACGAGGCAAAGCGTTGGGTTTGGGATGCGGCGTTCAGCGCAGATTCCCAATATATATTCACCGGTGAGCATTTCGTCTTTTTAAATATTCTCTTTCCCTAATAATAAGACCACGTAAATATATACTTGTGTAACTTGTGACAAACTTTCCGATTTATAATTTGTCAAAGAACTTGTAATCAAAGTTGTATAAATATCTTATATATTTTATTTTATTTTATTTTTTTATTTTATTTGATATTTTACGCAGCCTCTTCAGACGGAATTGCAAGACTGTGGAATGCGTCTACAGGAACAGTAGAACGAGAATATGTAGGACATCAGAAGGCTGTCACAGCTCTTGCTTTTCGCGATGAAATTGTTTCCGCAAGCTAAAAATAAAAAAATAAAAATTTAAATAATATATTTAGTTTTTTTTAATGGAAAAATGTTAAAAATTCAAGATTATATGTTATTAAGGTGTAAGATCCAGGCTGTACGATGGGCTGTCGTTCTTCACTCAAAGGAACCTCGTCCAGAGGAACTTCATCTCTATCTTGCACCTTCTGATTTTCATCTCTTTGGTCCTCTGAAAGATACAATTTACGGGAAGAGATATGACAATAATAAGGAAGCCATAGCCAAAATAAGAAAGTGGCTGAGAGATAGATCAGCGCAAGGGCATGCTGGATCTCACATCAAGATGGCATAAGGCCATAGAATTGAATAGAGATTGTGTTGAAAAATAGTTTTTGCTAACGAATTGGGGAAAAATATGATGCATTTAAAATCACAGTGAAATAACCATTAATGAGTAAAAAGTGTTGCATTACTTATTGAACGAGCCTCTTGTCAGAGGCAAAAAATGACACGAGAATTCTTGCGCGCCATTTCTAAATAAAAAGATTTGCATAAAATAACACTTCAGATCATTTCAGCACACTTCAAAAATACTCCGACGTCTATATCGCTTTCCCTTGACAATTAATAAACAGCCGTAAAATGAATGTAATACGAAGTCTAGTTATGCAGGCTTATGTGCGGGCGTATAAATTCTCAGCGTTTCTCGCTTCTGAACGCACTATCTTACATGACCGCGAGATCCTAAAAAAGTGTAACATATTTTGAAAACAGGTAAGGTAAAGGTACCAATACCCGGACACTTAAGAGTAGGTAAATGTACCAATATCTGGACACGTACCTGTGTCTGGATACCTTTAAAAAAATATAAATTTAGGGTAACTCGGGGGAATATACCATACTTAAGAAAAATATGATTTTTTTTCCTATTTCTCTTTCTTTTTGAGGTATCTTTGCATACTGGTATTCTTTTTCCTTCTTTTATTTGTTATTTATATATGATTTTAATGAAATAGTTTGATTCTTTACTATTAAAAAGAAAGAAATACGAAAGTGTTGCAAAAGTGGCATATTACCCCCATGTGGGGGTAATATACTATACAAACATGTATAGTAATTTAACTTTAGAAGGGCATTCTTGTCTAAAAACATGTAAAAGAATATTTTTATTACAATTTCAAAACACTAAAACACTAAGAACATTCTAAAAAGCACGTACGTTATCATACTTGTCATACTGTACTTACCCTATAAAAACTATAATACTGACAGGAAGTAAGTAAAACTTGGACAAAACGTCAGATATAATATTTTTAACAATTTCACAGTATTTACAACAACGCTCCTAGCCGTAGCTTTGTTAACTTTTCATGTGTAACGTCTTTTTCGGCACCTGTAACGGGTAACGTCGGGTCACTCGTGTCCGACGCCTAAAAAATACTTTAAAGTGTTCTAAAAAAATCTGAAAAAATTCATGTTACCTTATTAACTATCCTACTTTAAGGATCAATCGCTATATTGCCGATTTTTTTATTTGTTTAAACAATATATTTATATAAACAAATAAAAACGTGAAGAATAGACCATTTTTTTCAAAAAATCGTAACTTTGGCAAAAATTAATATATTAAAAAAAAAAAAGAAATTAAAGTTTAAGAATAGTACTTTAAAGAAAAAAATATTAGAAGTATGTATAAATTAATGGGATGCTTAAGTTTTGAGCATCAAAATCACGTTTTTTGAAAGTACGTAAATAGGTTCAAATTACAGTAAAATACACAGTTTATTCATTTTTAATCAATTTTATTCATGAAAATGTAATCAATCACAATTATTTATTACAAAATTATAAAAAAGTACAAAAATATGAAAAAATTATATCGAGGCTAAATTATTATGTGCACAATCAAAACATATTATTTATCGATAACTAAGATTAATCTATCAATTTCCAATGAAAGAACATGAATTTTTAGTAAAAAAACATCTAAATTAAAATAAACATTTTACTCACCTGCTATTTTTAATCAACGTAACGTGTAATGTCGGGTCACTCGTGCACTTTCAAAATTTCGTCTGGCTCTCACAACGGCTGTTTACGCACTAGACCGTCGGCGCGTGGGGAGCTAGTAGCTTAGTAGTATACAATTTTTTTCAGTATAGTTTGGCCCTGCCCCCCCTCCCTTCGAGCTACAGGGGACAGTCACTTTCGCCAGGGCACGAGTGACCCGACGTTACACACGAAGGGTTAAACATAACGAGTGGCATATTCCCCACACTGGCATATTCCCCCCAGTTACTCTATGGAAATAAACGTTTGGATATTATAACTAAAGTTTCAAACTGCAAGAAAAAATACTTTTATCTTTAATTTTAATTCACAAATAATAAAGGTGTCCAGATATAGGTAGGAGAGACCGGGGCGAAGTTGTCACTATTTTTTCGGTACCGATTTTTAACAACAAAACAAATAATTTTAGTAAAATGTGGTATACCGTTTTAAGAGTGAACCCTTGGCTACAAAATTTATAAGGACATTTTTGGTCTACGTCGCTTTGTTCAACTGGTATAGAGTGAAAACGACAAAGGTGCAAAATTGAAATGTCAGTCAAAATTGTCGGGGCGGAGTCGTCACTCCATTCTCGGACTGAATTTTAAATAAAAATTCATAATTCCGATCATGAAAAATGATAGGATACATTTTATAAATTATTTTTTAATAGAAAAATGGAAACATTAATTAAAAACACGACGGCGGAAAATAATTACAAGAAAAGCGCACACACTTATGTGCCCTACGCTCGCACGAAATGCACTGTTTCTCGTCAGCTCTATTCTGTCATCTATCAGCACACGCAGCACATATTATCCTTATCCTCGCCAGAAACCGACCACTGCTGCTTCTTTGACTTTGATTTTCGCCCGAAGCCTCCATGATATGGTTTGGTGACGACTTCGCCCCGACACAGATTTTAAGTTTAATCGCTCATAAAATAATAGAAATTAACGAAAATAAAAAAATTTATCTGGATTTGTGTTCAGCATGCATTACTCTTTAAAATCATTTATCTCGAGATTTGGAGAGAAAATAATATTTAAAATATTTAAAATTTTTGACGCGCAAAAAATTTTACTTTTGATTTACGAATCTCACTAAACTGTCACATTAAACCACCTTTAACTGCAATAATTAAATTATTTACATTCAACCAATTAATAATTTTTAAATCAAGTAATTTACCTTAGACTATTTATTTGTTATTTATTTGTTACTATTTATTTGTTATTGGAAAAATGATTAATTATTCTTCACTAATTATTAATTTTCAAATAAGTAGTAATTTATTTGTAACAAACTATTAATTATTTTAATAATAAAGAATTTGTTTCTACTAATTACCAATTTGCAAAAGAAATTAATTCATTTTTACCTAAATACTAATTTTCACGAACTAAAAATTTTTCTCTGCAGACAAATTACCAATTTTTTAAGTAATCTGTAATTCACTTTTATCTAAATATTATAAATTTTTATGTAATTAGTAACTTTTTGTCATTATTACTAATTTACTAATTCAACAAAAATTTAATTTGTTGTTATTGTTAATTTCGCGAAAAATTAAAAAATAAAAATTTTTTTGCCAATTTCTGCTTAAGG